GTACTCTATAATAATTAATTTTTTAAAGGCTTACTGGATATTAGTACTATACTATAATAGAATTTTTTCTTGAGTAATATGTGACAGGTATTTAAATATTAAGATTTTTATTTTAATTACTTAGTTATATAATACTAAGTATACTATTTTAGACTGATTTTAAATATACTAGCCCTTGTCCTTCTAGCTATGTGCTGTATCTTAAAAAAAATAACTATACAGTACACTGATTCTTGTGGGACTAAGAATAATAATAAAATTATTATCTTATATATTATAAAGTACTGATAAAATTATTATAATATTAATAATCTGATAGTCAGACTTAAACTTTTATAACTTGGAATTTGTAATTATACTAATAATAGACATAAAAAAAAATATAAATTTTGGTCTACAAGTCTCAGTGCTCTTAATATATTTCAGATATAGAGATAATTATTATTATTCTTAATATACTATAAATAGTATCCAGTAGGAACTACACTAGTTATTTAAACTTATAGTTCAGACTATACTGCATTTTCCAATATTATTAATATTACTGTTTCTAATTATTATTTTTATTATTCAGAGGCGGTGGGTATTTACAGAGTATAATATTTATTTTTATAAGTATGCTTATTACTTTCACCATTACTGTAGTAGTCTTTTAGTATAAATTAAGTATATTATTAATAATTACTGAGTAGTTTTATAATGTTAGGCAAGTACTAGAAGAACCAGAATCACTTTAGAAGCTAGAGATAAATATAATATTATATTACTTATTCTAGTCTTAGGCTTGCTTCTAGTAGCTGAGATTATAAGATTATCCTATTTTTACTCTAAGTATTTTATATAAAAAGAAATAATTAATATCTTATTTACTATAAGCCATACAAGCTACTCAGTATATAAAAAAAAGAGAAAGAAAGTAAGAAAGTAAGATATTATATGAAATTAAAGACAGAGAGACTAGTCTCTTGCTTCAGGCATGGCCTAGTTTATAATATTATTAATTATAACAACCGGGCAAAACTGGAGTTCTTATTGATTTTATAAGTAGCAGACCAGCAACCATTTCATGAGATAATATTCCCAAATTAGAATATATCTAGTTATATAGATGCAAGGGTTTTGAATATAAATTTTCTTCTTTGTCCCTCAAACACTCAATTTTATAGGCAGGTGCCAATTTGGGATTGAGACATTGTTGTGTTGTAAATACTGACACATTTGCCGGTATCTTACTTCTTTGAGAGAATCTTGGCTGCCAGCATTATAGCCTCCCTCGCCGGGGTATTGAGACAGCTCTATAGCCTGTCAAAGTTAGAAAACTGAGACGCAAACATAGCTACCTATAGACTATGTATGTTTACATTGATTTGCCTCGTAGCTGGCCAGTGTGATACTCAAAAAGATATTTTATATTCTGCCTATTATATCCCTTCTAGTTTATCTAGATTAATAAATGTCAATATCTAAGCCGCTTAATCTAGCCTTTATCTTAATAATTTTTACTATGTTTTAATAATCAAACTATATTAGATAATTATAGTATTCTTATTTAAAAATATATAAATATTTGAATTGCTTGGGGGTCCACCAGTAGATCCTGAAGATATTATACTGATACATGAGTTTGGATCTTTACTTAAAGACCATTTTCTACTTATTTTATTATAAAATACTTAAATATCTATAGTGGTGTCGATATCGGCAGTAGTCTTTGCTGAAATATTAAAAATTATAGTGATCTATATTAGACATACTTCAGGAAATCTATAGCAGAATATTAAAGTCTTTGGAATATCTAAAATTGAAAAGAACAGAAGCTCTGGACTAGTTTAATAAATAAGCTCTGGTGTATTAAATCTAGAGATATACAGAAATAGATATTATACTAATCCTCTAGTAAAGTCAGTCGCGTGTAACTCTGTATATAAAATAAGCTAATTTCAAGATCTTATTATTATATCTCTCAGTAAAAGCTGGAAATATATTTACTGAGTATACTTAGAAGCTATACTACTATATAATATAGTCTCAGGTAATATGAGATAATTATTAAATACTTCTTATTTTTATTTTAAATTAGTCTTTTAGTAGTTTATTTAAGAAATATATACTTTTATAAATCCTTAATTAACTGGCTTTATATATTATTTGTTAATCTATTTTTAACCAGCTTTAGATATATGTATTTTAAGATAAAGTAATTCTCCGTAAAATATATTATTACTATTGTAGTAACCGTAGGAAATACTCTAGTAGTCTTTATATAGAATATCTCAGAAAATCTCTACAGTTATTTAATTAAAATAGTTATTATCTTTTAAGCTGCCTACACCAACCTGTGCAATATTCTGTTAATTATTATTAAAAAAAAGAAAATTTACAACTCTTAAATTGATATTAATAGATGGATTCTTTATAATAATAATAATAAAGAAATCATTACTGTTTTCTACGGTACTAGCAGTAATATAAATCTATAACTTAATATTAACTATATTCTTACCCCTTTCAATACTCTATTTTAATGTAACGGTTGTGAAGTATATAATAAATATTATATTAGATAAATCTTTATTTAGGACTAAGTTGAGTTATTTATTTAATAGTAGATTAGCTAGTATCTGGATTATATACTGACTATAACAGGTCATAAATATATTTTAATAATTTCTTTTAATTAAGTATATAATACTTACTAACTTTATAATAATCTTAAAATATTCCTGGTAATACTTATTATTATCCAGCTGTTTGTAATATATAATAATATCTGCTTATATATCTTCAGCGAACCGCGTAGTAGTAATCAGGTCTTTATATTATATATAAATAATATCTTTCAAGCCTCAAGCCTAGATATAATACAGTATTTCTAAATTATTTATATTAATAATAGTATCTCCAACTTGCCCCCAGCAGAGTAGAAATATGCCTATAATAATATAGAGTACTAGAGTATTGATTTTTATAGCACCCAGAATATATTTATCTGCACTGGGGATAAAATATAGTATTATAAAATTCAGAATAGACAGAGTGTGAATAATATATATATAAGTTATTTTAGGATAACAAGCGGAGTATGTATATAATAATTAGTTAATTTAATTTCTCTAACTATACTAGAAAAGATGAATATCCTGGAAAAAGAATATATATATATATATTTAAAGTATACTTTTTCAGTAAATCAAGAGATTTAATAAGTTTTTTTTATAAATAAATATAGTTAGCCTTACTATAATTCATGAGATTATCTTTATCTTTTAATTATAATTATATGTCTAATATAAATAACAAATATCTTTAAATATTTTATTTTTTTAAACTTATTATAGACTATATCACCTGATAGACTTCTTATAATTATAACCCAGATTCTTATTAATAACATTAAGAAGACCCTATATTTAAATTTTTAAACTTAGTTTTATGAAGATATACCAATGGCGGAGGGTTAATAAACTGATTATAATTATATATAGTATAAGATAAGACTGTTTAATAACCAATCCTGTTCAAATGTTAAGGCCTGTCTTTTATTATATATAAAGAATTTGTCGCCGGCACATTAGATTATATAAATGCTAAGATTATAAAAGTGGTCACACTTCCATATCAGTACTGGATGGGTTGCTTCTGGTTATAATACATTTTCTATTATAAGGGTTGTTTGTGTTATTGTAATGCAGATTCTGTAGATAAGGTGTAGGGCTCTATTCTTAAATAAAAGGTATTTTATATTAATTTTATTTTATCACACTAACTACATCTATTTCAGGAATATATCTTTACTTTATGAGTCCTGAATATAAAGAATCTTCAGTAGAAATTTATGTAGGATACCTAGACTCTTCTGTGTCTTCTTCTTATAAATATTTCTATTATATTAAGAAAAGTAGATAGCTATAATTGCCTTGACAAAGTCCCTTTAGATTTCCTGTTATCTGTTCTTTGCAGAAATTTGTTTCTTCTATTAAAAAGTTGTGTTTTGCAGTTTCCCGTACTGATTATTTTGTAATCCTTATTATACCTGCTCTTTCCGGCTGCTTGGACTGTCTGCTTCTGAGAGCAGAAATCATGTGGTAAGCAAGAGGTGAGTCTGTTAACTGGAAAATCAGTGTCTTATAGTAAGTGTTATGGCCTGATCTGCTGGGTCCCTTAAGACTATGTAATCATAATATTTTGTTTTTTATGAAATAGTCACCTCTAATCTTCCCAAAGTCTCTTTTTTCTACAAGAGAGAGCCAGCTTTGGATCATCATATCTACTTTAAACATGAGTGAAAGCTTAGAGTTCCTGGAAAACCTTTTCTTCCTCCTTCTGCGTACCCTATCAAGACATCCCATTCGTTTAGAAATTTTGCCAGACACAGTTTTTAAACACCCCCATGAATACTCGAGGGCCTTCTTCGTCGAAAAGTGGTAAGGTGCGCAAGATGTTTGCCTAGACAATAATGCATTATTTCAAAGTCTGCACCTGAAGGCTTGATAAAATCAAACAGAAAGAATGTAAATCTGACCCACACCCTCACCTCATCACCTAGGGGCTCTAGTATTGTATCTCTTAGCCATAAATATGAGTCCTGTTACTGCAGAAAAGCATGTAACTGTTTTAAATATGAGCCCTAGTCTAATCTAATCTGTGATATAGTTTAGTATTCTGCTATTTATTCCTTGCCAGGACCATCCCACAACATATTATACTACTAAGCTAATAAACCTGTCATTCAACAGTCCTATATCAGGTTGAGGGGTGTTATAAAGCTATATATATTGTTTAAATACTGCTGTTACCATGATCGGGCCCGTGGACCAGAAAACCTACAGATACAGGAAAAATATTTTTTATAATATAAGCCTGCTACTCTACTACTTAGTTTTATGAAGAGCTTATTCCAGGAATAGAGATTAAAATCTAGCCATAAAGAAATAGTTACTGAGATTAAATATACCTGTTGTTAAAGAGAAGATAGCTTAAAATCAGAGTCTCTGGAGATATTAAATATACTTAGCTAACTTAGGGCTTATGTCCAGGTCAGAATAAATATTACTCTTAGAGTAAATAATAAGCAGTCTTATAATATCAGCACGCTGAATATTATAAGGGTATCTTTTATATATTAATAGTATCCAAGTATAATCTGCTTTGATAAGCTTAAGGACATTATTATTTATCTATAACTTAACTATATAATTAGAGAACTTTAATATAGCTTTCTATGATTTACAAGACGCGGTGATAATAGTAGAATAGTTATTAATATTAGTTATTTTCTATAGTTAATAGACAATATTTGGTATCACTGGATCAAGAAGTGGATGAGTGTTATAGACATCTTTAAATATATCAGACAAATATATATCTGTTATTTATATAAACTCTGTCAAATATCCGGTGAGAGTAAAGTTATCAGTATAAATAAATTAAAAAATAATAAAGATAATAATAGAGAAAATCACTGTAATATCAAGCTATCTTATTTTTCTAAAGAATACTTCTATGATGCTCCTTTTTGTAAAATCTTATATTCTAATTATAGTCTGCCTTTGAATGAAGAATAAATATAGAAAGCAAAGATTATACTATATTAGAATAGCAGAAAGATATTATTTATTCAGATTACTCCAATATTAGTCCATGTTTAATGTATATGACTAGCCAGGAAATCAGAATCAAAGAAAGGTCTGAGTTATATGAGTACTAGTTAATATTTATATTAATCATGGCCTGTTTCCATCGGGTGGGTTTATTAAGAGATTGAAAACTATACCAGTAAGTAGCTTTCGTACTAAGGATCGCCCAGGATTATAATAGCTCATAAATATTAAAAAATATATTTATCTGAGACAAGCAGTAGACATCTTATTCTTCTCTATTTTATTTATCTCCGGCTAGGTATTAGGGTCATCAGAGTTATCATACTTAATAATTAGTATTGATTTGATCCCCCAAAATCTCTCAGACAATTTATCTTGCTTATCCAAGACCATTACTTATCAGAGTAACTAGGATTTGTCCCTATCATTAACAGGAAGGGACTGGGCAGACTAAATCAGAATATTTATAGATACTTAAATATTAGATAACAAAACAGATTTCTTGTCTATATACTTTGACTATTTATAAATTACTTAAAATTACTGATAATTCTTCTGTGAGTACTTATTACTATGTAATATTAATTTTTAAGATATTATTACCAAGGCACACCTTCTTTATTGATACTAAATAATAAGATTTTTATTTTCTTATACTATAATCCTGCTAGTCTGACTTATCTGTAGTCCTATGGCATGGTATATTTATAGACTCTCGAGTATCCAGGTTCATGTTAAGTACAAGTAAAACATTTTATTCCTGTAAATGTATTATTTTAAGAAAGATATCAAGCTTATCCTGCCCACGAGCCCCTGCAGAGCGGACATGGCTTTATAAAGTATACTGAGGTTGCTGATCAAATAATAGGTAGCTGTATATCTGCAGTAGTAAGAAGAACAGTCTCTATTACAGGGTAGTAGAATATAATAAAGCAACCTGCTATATTCTATTTACTGAATATAAGGTCTATTAATCATCCAGCTGCGTCTGTAACTCTGACTACTGTTGTGATTTATTTGAGCCAGATCAGAATCTTTGCTAATTTGGAGAGACAAACATATTATTTATGTGTGAAATCTCCTACTATGTTCCACTTTACTTACTGGCCCCGCATTTTGTCTGCGCCTTCTGAGAATATGCGTTAGCTAATAACCAGTGATCAACTAAACCGTAGTAATTGAATACAAACTCCTGAACTTGAAGAATGTGTTGCTTGGCCACTAAACCTAGACAAAGACAAGGGATGGTTGCCCTTCAACTTAAGGATGTAGCTTCATGATGTATAAGCCGTCGTCGTAGGCACTCCACATGATCGTTATATCTCGTTACCTTGATTGGCATCCGGTCAAATCCCCTGATATACGGGTTGGGTTAGGCTTATATTGAGGACTTCGACACGGCCTTGCCCCTTTTGTTGCTGTAGAAAATACTGACTGGAGCTTTAGATGAATGTTTTTCGGTACTCTCAGTGTTATGGATGAACCATGCGATAACCTTTGAAGGCAATTAATTCGTTACTTTATTTAAACTCCTCTGATAAAGAGAAGAGGAGGCTAAACATGCAAGATGGATGATTTATCCTCTAGATCTCCAGATCGTAGCAGCTTATGAAGTTATAAAACTGTACTGTAACCATGCCACAGGTAGCTACTCTACCAAGAGCTCAATATCTGGGGTTGGAACAGACAGTCATATTTAATGAAATAGTTAAAGCCGTGACGGGCGATAGCATCGCTAATGCTGTATAGAAGAATATTATTGAATATGTAGCTGAAATTGTGCCTAATAATGGCTATGTTTGTCTAGTAAGTGCCCGCTCTAATGGGATCTATTTTAAAGAATGGGGTGGTCTTTGAATTTTGGTTTAAATATAGATTACTGGACTGAGGTTTTATGATCTTACTATGATCATGGTCAGTGAAACATCTTATGTTTGATAAAAGTTTATACTGCATTTTATATTCTACTAATGCGTGACGATATGATCATACCTATTAAATAATTTATTGCTGAGACTTTAATCCTCCGGTGAAAATATATGTTCATGGGTGAATCCTGTCTACTGTGCCGTAGTTCTTGTTATGATGGAACCTCGGAGGAACTTAAAAGTGTCTAGTCAGATAGAGCCGTCCCTTCTTACAAGGCGGGGAGTGTTGGTCTATTTAATGGAGTATTGATTCCAGTGCTATATTTATATTCTTGGACTGAGGTTTGATGTTCGGGCTAATAGCTAGTCCTGTCTATACAGCCACTGCAGGAGTCTCCGGGTATGTGGAAAACACTGCACTTCTGAAATGAACACCTGCAATATACCCTCCTGTCTATTATGATTAGGGATAATCATGGTATTAGCAATAATCCCAACCATGCTGAATCTATAAGACTATAATTTTTTAAAAATATAAAATAAAACCAGGTCTCTATATAATGAATCAATTTTTTAATTTTATTTCGCTAGACAAAATTCAACAGAATGACAGATTAAAGAACTAGATATAGGAAATTTTGAATCAAAATCAATTTTTTATTAATAACTTTTCAAAATATAACAGAGATTTTGATTAATGATAATCGAAAAAATAGGTTAAATTAATAGATTGATTCTTGTGTAAAGCTTTTCTAATTGTTTTTTCACCGCAATTTATAACTTTTTTTCCCAAAGAAGATTGATTATAAGATATAAAATAAAAGAATATATTCAAGTAATACAACTGTGAGCTGATCATATATAATAAAGTAGTTAATGGCCAGGATATCATACACACTTTGTGACTTTGTCACTTACAGAGATGTTATAGAAAAAAATTATAACCAGTTTAATATACATTAAGAATTATAAATATATTTAAAAACTAAATTAATTATGTAACTACAATACAAGTCCATCTTTTCTTTTTTGTAAGTGGGGTCTAGGCCTGATCATGTGATGTATTCCTAAAATAGTTTGCGTGCCTGGTCAGATGAGAAATTAGCATGGGCCAGGTAAGCTGCGACGCTGCGTCCTGTCATTTTCCCGCGCCGGACAGGCAGGGTAGAGTCTAGAACTCTGTTTTATTGCCTATGACAGTGCATTCTTTGCCTGAGGTGATGGACGAGGCATACCTTCCGTATTGGGGCCAGTTACCCGTCGAGCAGTACTTGATCATGAGTGTTTTGCGCTACTATTGTTGTTTCCCCCCAGCCCGAGTCCTGTAACTGTGATTGTACTGAAGAAAACCGTGCGGTACGCCTGAATGCTAGCCTTCTTAAAGACTCGAAGAGCTCTATCCCGAGCTCTGGGATAACCCTCACCACGGTGGTTAGAGCCTGACCAGCTGACAGGGCGGTTATTAGGATATGTATAGTTTTAGGAGACAGACTACTATTATCCAATACCTTCTTAATCCCTGTCGGGATAGTATCCGCTGACTGGGTAGTAATGAGGATATTATAGATTACCATGATGATGCTCGTGATGGAAAAGCAAATCAATCTACTGAATCTACAGCTAGTATCCAGTTTATCCTGATTATTGAGCATGAGAGTTATACTTATAAGGGATAGCTGTTGGCTACGGGCAGGATCAGTGGCTCTGAGATATGTGGCCAACAGGAAGAGACGTGTCGCTAGAGGAAAGATGAAGAGATAGTCTTAGATTATATGATTATCATTATTTATATATCTTCCTGGACACGAGACCCTGAGATATTATAATATTATTTTAATTATCTAAGTAGTGAGTTATGATATATATTTTATTATTAAACTTATTTAGTAAGATGGATTATTTAGCAGAATTTCTAATAATTAATAATATTAAGGAGTTTTGTTAATCTGTTTACAGGATTCTCTGTATTATCTATATATATAATCTTTAATAAATCTTTTTTATAGTAATCTTAAATAAATAGTAAGTAATTATTAATTTATTAGTTATTTAAAATAAAGATTAGATTCTTTATAAATAATAATATATTGGCTGAATTAGTAAAGACTAGGATTATTTTTAGAATAATAAGATTAAGTATTTATATTAGTTTCTTAATCTAAAGGACTTTCTTAATAGTCTTATTAAATATAATATACTCTGCTAGAATTAATGAATTTATAATTATTATTTATTTCTTACTATTTCAGGATACTGGGGAGTCTGTATAAAAAATTATATAGAATTTTATAGATTTTTTATCTGTATAGTCCTGGAAAGTAATATTAATATAAATTTTAAATATTACTTTATAGTTAAGGGCGAGTATTAAATTAAAATAATTATTTATTAGATAATATAGGAGATTCTTTGCTGCTGTAATATTAAATAATAAAAATATATAACTTTAGTGCTGAAGACAGAAGATAATATATATTATATCTAATTATATTTATATACTTAGCTAATTTAATTAATTAAGTAATTATATATATTATTTAATATTTTTTTAATTAAAGCTTAGATTTTCTGAGCAGTAGTTCTAATAGTCTAGATTTATAGATATATACTAAAATAAAGATTTATTTATTTAGTAAGAAACTAGTAGATTCTTTATATATAAATACTAATTAAAAATTATTATTTTAGCTTTTTTATTTCTGGTTA